AACTTAAATGATTTTAGCAAATGGCTGCAATATAACAAAGAGTGAAAATTTTAAGGGGGTCTGAATACTTTCCGTATCCACTGTATATATATATAAACAGGCTTTAATTAAATAATTTAATAATAATTAAATAAATAGTTGCATATATATATATGTATATATATATATATAAAATTGAAGATGGAAGATGGTAGCACATAAAATAGATATGTTTTCACACCCATAAATGTCATAATCAAACTATAATCAAACAAAGTGAGATTAGTGGTTAAACATGTCAGCAAGATTCTGAGTGACACTTAAACATGTCAGTGAGACTGAAACAAAATGCAGTATGTGTCAGATGTTATTAAAAATCTGAATTGCTCAACAGTCCCGGTCCTTAGCATAACTAATGCTGGATTTTTATTTCATGTGACTCAGCAAAAATATCATTACCGAGTCGCAGAGAAAAATAATTAGTATGGAAAAATAGTCTGAGGCCTGTAAAAACATCCCACCGAACATTAAGCAGGCACTTGTACTGCACTTCCTGATAGGTTAGCAGGTTTTCTGCAGTGTATCTCTGCACAGAGGTACTGAACAGGGTTTTAGCACCAAGTCCTGGTGCAGAGCAGAATGGAGGCCTTTTCTACCTCTCAGCATTGCACTAACAGAGGAGCCTCACAGAGGGCCCATTGTACGCTGGGGCCCTGCAGATCCCTACATGAAAGCAAAGTATGCCTCACGCTCACCTAAGGAAAAGGAAGACAAATATCTCATACTTAGGACTGAATAACTTATGTGTCTCTTCAGGAAACAAAAAAGAAAGATGGCTGTAAGGGATTAAAGGATTTTGCAGTTGGGGGTCTGTCAGCGTGCAAATTGTGTGTCCGTTCAGTGTGTGTGTGTGTGTGTGTGTGTGTGCGATGCAGTGTGGTATGGGGTGGGCGCTGCTGTAGATGTGACTCAATTTCTCCCTTTTCTCAGTCTCACTTCTTACCTTCACATATACGGCCAGGTAGGGCACACAGGTCTGGGAGTGTGTGTACACGTACACGTCACACACACCCAGAAGCATCCACACACAAAAACACACACACCGTGAGTGACCCGTTGCCATTGGCCAGGCCCACCAGCCCTCTGCCTGTCCGATCTGAAGAACAGGACCATTTGGGAAAGGAAGAGAAAGAGGTAAGGGTTCTACTGTGTGTTCTTCTAAATGTTGGTGCTGTACTTTAGAGCAGGGACCGGACCTAAGGGCTTCTTGGGGTCCCTTCTGCTTCTTAACCTCAGTTGTACTTGGCCACTGAGGCTAAGCTAAAAAAGCTAAAATGGACTTCACTGACTGTACTGGGGCTTTCATTTTTTTATTTTTGTTATTTTTGTCTTGTATATGACTGGCTTTGTAATATAAGGTGCACACCATGGTCTTAATGAATCTCCTTCTAGTTCTTGTAATAATAATGCACATTTGCAAAGTTAAAATAGTTCACGTAGTTCATATACACCTTTACTTAGGCTTTCATAATTTTTTTCTTTTTCTTTTGTGGATTTCTGGCTTGATATAATACCTCTATCCTCCATCATCTTCATGAATCTTCTTACAATACAGTAATGTTGAAACCATGTTTTAAGTGGGTTAACAGGTGATCTATGTGGTAGTGATGGCAATTTATGTGTGTTTTTTATTGGCCAGTTTACTATTCCATGGTTTGTGGGGTTCGTTTTGTGTGTGATGATGTTTGTGCTTGATTTTTAAGAGAGTAGTCGATCTTTTTTAAGCTTTACCAATAAAATATGAGTATTTGCAGAAAATGTGATAGGATAGTTGTAATTACTGTTACAGACTCTTGATGTCTGGTCATTAGCAAACTGTTCAGGTCAAGGGCCATATTATAGAAACTTCCAGTTTCAAATCATCAGATAAATCTTCAGTTAATCGCCAAACAGATGAGATTTAGTAGATATGTCTGTAATATGTGTCTAATTAAGCTACAGTGCTTATATATTTATGCATTTTGACTTATTGCAAGTAAATAAGTCATAAATTTGGCAATATTGGCAGAACCACTAGAGAAGAAGTAATTGTAAAATCAATGAGTATGTGGAACGCTGTCGGGTAGAGCCAAAAACAACATTGGGATAGTTAGTTCTCACACACACATACTCACACGGTGTCTACGCACCGCAAACACTGTTGAGAGTGCGTAAAAGCCAAGCTCTGTGTGCAGTATAGTCCCTCTTTCAGTATTTCCCAGCTGAAGCTGTCAGGCACTGGTACACTAAAGCTTTACTGTGAGATGATTTTTCTTTCATAGATACAGACTGAACTAGTTTGCGACTCTAATCGATATCACCACTATATAATCTCTATTCATGATGTGACGTGATGGCATGTGTTCATTGGCTGTCAGAAACCCACATGGAACTGATTTATGTCTAAAAATGCAGTGGTTTCTAGAGTGCAGCTATGCCCCAAAATAGCCTTCACTGAGAGTTACGTGGATGTGTGTGTATGAAAGAGAGAGAGATTGAGAGAGATCGTAACTCATTGCCATGCTGTCCACAAACCTTGGTGGAATTTCGAACTTGAGTGTAGAGTCGGACACTCATAAAGGGG